ATATATATATATATATAGGTATATATATCGCGATAATATAAATTATACTATAAATCAGATTAAACGCACGCACGATGCACTATAATTATCTTTCATTAATTATTTTGCTTTTTTCTTCAATAATCTTTCTAAAGATTATTGAAATTATAAGTGATTATAAGTGATAAATTTCAAACCGTTGATTTTTCATGTAATCCATTGAGAATTAGATATTTCGATTTGTCAACACCTTACTCACTCTCTATTTTATTTAGGATACAATAAAAGCTCGTGAAGAGAGACGATAACGTATTATACATATTACAGCCACACAGAAAGCAACATCTTTTAGGGTCTTGAAAAACGCCTACTATACAGCTTTGCTTATAATTGTCCTTATATAATTTTATCCGGTAAGAAGTTTGGAAAGATCTCCATGTAAAAATAAAGTAATCCCGAAGCATGTAGTGCCCAAGCTTGTACAGACTAGTACTATTATTTACGAAGAGCCGAGAGTGAGCAACGAGAAAAGACTATCTCAAGTCAGCTGTTTTCACCCGCCTTTTTTCGTCATTCGCCGTGTAAAGCCCATTATCTATATCATATGTTTGTTTTTTTTTTCTATGCAGTGCATGATAGTATTTATTCATGATACTTCATTGCATATACGATCATAAACTGTTCACATACTCACGATCACGCTACGCGTTAAGAAGAGTCGTTTATATATATATATTTATATATATATATATATATGTATGTATTACAAAGAAGCAGTAATATAACATTTATTTATATTATAACATAATTTATATCGTGACAGATAGAGAGACAAACAGAGAGAGTAAAGATGATCTTTCTCGCGGACAGAATGGTGCGCGTGTATGCGCGCTTACAGCATCATACATTCTTTTCTTTTTGTCGCCATATCCTTACTTGATTATTTCCACGAACATGTAACGCATACTCGTTTATGGATTGATGGATGTCCTCTCTCGTACTTGGTAAGGATAAAATTTTCTTTAACATACGAGATTACATGCTTTCGCACATAGTCTTAACTCTCGTTCTGTTATGCACCTGTTATATCTACCGCCAACTAGTACTCCCACTTTTTTCTTCTCCGTATAACTGCTTCTGTAAAATAAAATTACACAGTTTTTTATAACACTCAAACTATAAGCAATAATTTAAAGTAATATTTAATAAATGGCGATTATCAATTATTCCGTGGTTAGTTGATCATGCTTTATTTGTATTTGTTTCTAAGAAAAACGACATTATAAATAGAACTATGAAATAAACATATCAAATATATATATTTATATATTTGATATAACTTTATATTTATATGTCTTTATTATTGACTCGAATTATGAGCATATTTCATTATCTCTTCATTATCTCAGATATTTTAGATGAATGTTAACGTATGTTTCTATTGAAAATACAAGACAAATAATAAATTCAATTAAATTAATACTGCGTGTGTACGTACTATAGGATTATATATTAACCTTGAAAAAATTATTTTAAAAAGCTTAAAAAATATTTGGATAATAATAAATAATTAAGTCTATGATGTATATAATATTTCACATAGCATAACTTCGGAATCTAATTCCTGAAGTTTTATTTTAGTAGAAAAAAGTAGTTTAGGTCGTAATTACATACGTAAGCATAAATCAATAGTTCTAAAGGATTAGAGCCATGGCACACAAAAAAAGCAATAAGTCGTAAGCAGTAAACTAATCGATCAATCACAATCCAGAATATAAGGCTATAACATAGCAGTAGCAAATCCAACATGTTGATTTCTTTACCGCCTACGTCTTTCTGCTCAAGTATTTTTTGTGCTATGGCCCTTATTATGGATACGGCTGCTTAAATTTTGAAGGAAAACAAAAGAATTTTGCAAGCAATGAATAAAATAATAAATCTGTTTTTTATCGCACCCTGTCTTTATATTTAAGACGAAAACGTAGGTGTTATTTGCGTGAAAAAAAAAAAAAGAAAGTTTAAGTATGCTTACAAGGATACATAAATAGCTAATATTGTGAATTCATAAATGCGCTTCTTAGAACTACGAACATTACATAATTCCGTAATTATTTGGAATCATCCACGGTTACGTAAACTTTCTTTACGATAACGTCAGAAATCACTAGATTATATGTGAATCATCCTCGATCGATGCTTAATGTCAATTTTCATCGAATATTTTTTTCTTTATCTTGTAAATACATTAGGGAAGAGTGAAATTTTATATTATGAAAATTGAAAAAATACGAAATTTCTAAAATTGATGGGGAGGGAGAGATATATATATATATATATTATGTACATAATTATTGAAATCAACGCAGCATTAACAATATTAATAGAGATTATTACTTTTGCCTTTCTAACCACAGATGCTTTAACCAATTCGATATTTCATGAAAAAATCGAAAAAAATTCTTATTGCGATTTTTAATGTCTTTATACATAAGCTTCATATTAAAATTCGTTAAAAAATTATTAATTGAAGAGTGATAATTATATTATTCATTTTCTCCTGAGATTTAATTCACGAAGAGTTTTATTTTTAATAATTAGTTATTCGAAAGTATTGACTTGCCATTTCCGTTGAGAAAATCAATGAAATTAAGAAAATGTTAATATATTGAATTAATCAATATAATTAAACGTATATCAAGCTATTTTGAGACATCTCACATGAATTATATAATCTGCAACACAATGTTCTCAACAGAACATCAAACTTAAATATTTTAATTATTTTAGTAAACATTAAATATGTATAAGAGACTCCGTAGTTATATGTACATGACAAAAATAAACATTTCAATGCTTTAATGGTAACAGTATGTAGAAATAAATTATTGGAATGAAAGAAACGTGATGGAAGTAGTGTCTTTAGTAATATTTAATTTTGATATATATGTTAAAATTAACTCAATTTACAATCAAGTTAACATTAATAATAAACTAACCACAGTTTCCTTAATATTAAATCTATCCTATTATACAAATCATTTTAGAAACTTTTTACTGCATCATAAACAAAATCTTTTTTTTTTTTTTTCATTAGAAATTAAATATCCCCAACTGTACTTCCGTGATATTCATACTGTATATATGTGTACACACATTTTAAGCAACAAGGTGAGTCACTGGCAGCACTGCTTACGCATTCCCTCAGCGTTCATCGTTGGTTTGACTTCAATTTGTTCTACATTTTGTGGCCGGATTGTATCACCTTCAGGTGGGTCTCGTATCTGTTTTTGCGATACGATTCTGTATATTTCTGTAAAAATAAAAAGTTTTTGTTAAGTGAGATAATAAAATATGCCACACGCAAAATGAAACTTAATAGTTAAAATAAATTTTATCTCTGATATTAAGGCAGAGACTTACAATGCTCTTAATAAAGTGTAATATATATTAGATATTGACAAAATATTTAAATGTTAAGTTGCAATATTTTGATATAAATATTATACATAAAAACTATATGCAATGTTAATTCTATTATATTACTATTTGTAATGAACTATTACGTAATGAACTATTACACTATTACGTAATGAAAGAATTTATATAGAATCAGATAATTTCGTTAATATATATTCATGAACTTCTCGTGAAATATGGAATAAATTTCATGTAGTAATGAAGTAAATTCTATATCCTATGGTAAAAATCATATAATATAGCACATATTGATAACTAAAAGTATTGATAACTGTTTTCATGGAAACAGACAACAAAACTTATTAGCTATTACAGTTCTAATGTGGTTTCCAATGTTTAATAATCAATTCAATATATGCTAATTCTATAACATTAGACAATGCATAGATCTATAGGAATGAATGATTTTCTCATACTCATTAGATCCTGATTTTGATTCCCGACTTTTACTTCATACCTCGATTTATAAGAGGTTGATTAAAAAGTTAAAAAGTTTTGAATAAAATAGGATTAGATAATTATAAGCCGTCTCGGAATAAATAAATTCTAATACGTGTAACAATATTATGAAAAAGATCTGTTACCTGTTAATATGTTTTGAAACGCTGTCTCAACGTTAGTAGAATCTAAAGCGGATGTTTCAATG